ACACTTTGATCTTAGCCAAAAGGCCGAGAAGCGATCGATCGTTTTTTTTTTTTTTTTTTTTTTTCAGCAATAATAATATATTTAAAGAATGACACACAGAGATAAACATGTATGCAAATATACATAGAATGCCACTAACCACTAATAAATAATTACAGTAATTATGTAAGCTGTATCTGTGTGTTTTACAAATTGTTATTATGGATTAATATGATATTTGTCTGATAATGTTATGTTGCAATCATGTTTTACACACCGTTTTTTAATACTTTGAAGTTTTTATACAACTTGAGTACCTCGTCATAGATCAAATTTTGTACTATGAATTTTCAAAAACAACTATTTAAGTTTTCTAGATTATTGATGGTTTTCAATTTAAATTTTTAGACAAATTAAAATTTGGAAATATAAAAACAAGACCAGTAATTATGAATTTTTAATCGTTCGTTTTAAATACTAAAGTTATGAATAACATGTTAAATTATTTTGTTATATATAAATTTTAATTTGTTTTTTAACAATATTGGGAATAATATTTAAAAGTTGTATCCCTTTGCTGTAAAAAAGTACACATGGGAAATAAGGTAATATAATTAGAAGTTCAATAACAAAATGTCAGCATATTAAAGGGTAGTGTGGTCAGACCTCAGCTCAGCCAAAATCGGTTTAAAAAGACAAAACCTTTTTTTTGTTTGAGATTTGGCGGTACACTGTGCAGGTGAAGTAGAGTTTACCTGTTTCTTTGACCTCAGCATACGAAGGGATAGTGTGGTCAAACGCATGCTCAGCCAAAATCGGTGTTTTTAAAGGACAATAACATTTTGTATTAGGTGGGACGTCTTTTTGTATGTGGGATCTGGCTTTTTGTGAAGATGTGTGACAGTTGGAAGGGAAGGGGAAAGATAAAAATCGTCAATTAAACCTGACGTCATTCATGGATTACTCTCGAAACCCACGGTTATTCAAGGATAACGGGTAGTTTAGTAAAATATAAAACAATTCTTAACTTTAATGTACCAGTGCTTCTATGTACATGCTATATTTTGTCAACGACTGCACAATCCTTTTGAAACATACACAAACACCAACACATTCAACAATTCAATAACATACCTTTAACTTCTGCTCCACTCTTTACTAGGGTCGTCCATAAATGACGTCACATACCTAGGCGATGGGGATTTGGGGGGGGGGGGGGGGGGAGGGGGTCCGTAATTTCGTAACTATGTGTGATGAGGGGGAAGAGGATTCAAATAGTGTGACGTCACACTTTTGCATTTACAAAACAGCAATGTTAGAAACTGAAAGATAGCAGTTATTTCGCATTTTAGAAAACTGTTTTTAATAAATTGACATATTTTAGAAAGAGATCTTTGTTTTTTTTTAAGTATTCCACTTCAATTTTGATGGGGTTGTATGCTGAGGCGTGACGTCATTTTATAGGGGGGGGGGGTGGGTGGTTTGGCTTTTTGTGACAATATGTGACGGAGGGGAGGTACAACTAGTCAACAAGCATGAAGCTATTTATGGACGACCCCCACCCCACACCACACACAACATTTTTAACTTAGTCATAGTAAAAGACTACTATTCTTCTTTCCAACATTATCATAGTTGTTTCTTAAAAATCTCACCAGAGAACACATTCAAAATGTGTATCTAGAAGATACTTTTCACAAACGTTTCTGAACCTATGCGCAACATTGTTCATCTTGAAATTTAGTCAAATTTAATCTCGTCTTAAATCTATACATCTTTTGGGATGTGTTTCATAAGAAGAATTGTTCTATTGTTTAATTTTAACTTTGCCCTATGTGTATAGCAAATCAATGTGCGTACATAACTCTATTCAATGCATGGTCAATAAGGCCCGTTTCCCCATATCTATATGGTACAACAATTGATTTTTCTACAGTTTTGTATTTTCCTCTAAAACACTCTTCTCGGCAGTCCGCGCGTTGATGTTGATGGTGCTGCAATCTGTCGCTAGGTTGTAACAGTTCTCGACGTTCAAGCTAGGTTGTAACAGTTCTCGACGTTCAAGCCTAAATAAATGTTGGTCGTTACATGCCTGTGGATTAATAAACATTTGAATTGTTTATATTTGTATGTATTTTATGTGTGGATAATAATATAAAAATATGTGCCTATATATATATATATATATATATATATATATATATATATATATATATGCCAATATATGTATACTCATGGTTTTATATAAACAAATAATTATACATATATAGATACATGACTGTTAGAATAGTGTTGTCTATGGATGTGTTGGATTAGGCTAATAGCGTAAAAAATTACAAAACAAATTAAATTATGTGAAATTGTTGTGTGACGAATAAGCCTAGTGGAAACATCTCAACCCCACTAGTTGCCGTACCCATGTTGTCATTGTAAAGGTACTGATTACTATATTATACGGATAGGTCAGCAGCATCGCTATGTCTGGTGTCACCCACTGCGGCACTTTGTGGTGTCACCCCCCCCCCCAAGAAACAAAGTATATATATATATATATATATATATATATATATATATATATATATATATATATATATATATATATATATATATATATATATATATATATATATACATATATATATATATACATATATATATAAATATAAATATATATATATATATATATATATATAAATATAAATATATATATATATATATATATATATATATATATATATATATATATATATATATATATATATATATATATATATATATATATATATATATATATGCCTACATAGGCCTATAATTTAAATATATGCTACATTCGCTATGTGTATGTTTAAAAGCGTTAATCACTGCAGACGTAATAATAGTAACGATGTTTATCTTTAATCTGTCAATAATACAGATTGATGTATACTTTTTTCTCTAAAGTAAGCGTGTTTACGTTATGGTGTCACCCCTTCCCTTGTAATAATTGACAATTTGTACTTAAATACTATTTATCTTTAATCAATTAGCAATGTAACTGGCAAAAAAGCATTCAAAATTTTGTCACCCGGTGCGGTCCGCACCCCCCACCCTGCCCTCGATACGCCTATGGGATATCTACATATTCATAACATGGTGGATTACTATAACTTGTAATGATATACACGCACTAATAGACACAATGATATACGATTTACACGACACAAGTCTTACATGTTGAGTATCTATATATATAATTCTCTTCTTGGATACCCTAGAAAACACCAAGCTGTAATCGCGCCTAGCAGCCCCCTCTCTTCCTCTCTAAGCAAACCTATCACCCCTAACCCCACATGATCTGGTGAGCTGTGGTTCACGTTAAATGTTTACAATCGTAGAGCCAGGTTTAGTGACTGCTATTAGGGGCAGATAATTTAGTTTGAAACAATTTTAAACTTAGGGGAGGTAAATAAGAAGAGGCTGTTTTCACGGGGGTGGGGGGTGGGGGGGGGGGTGAAGGGTAGGGGTTGGGAAGGGGGATTATCGCCCTTAACGAGCCACTGATAGTGTTTTAAAGCAAATATTTTCAGTGGCAGCATTGGTACTGTCAAATTCACAAATTATGAATTACTGAAAAGTAGAAAACAAAACAACTAAATAACGGCGTATGATACGTCGCGGGTCGGCTCGTATAGGGCCTATCTATAATATCTATATACATTTTTTTTAGTGGGGAAAGTGGGGCGGGTAGACTTGTTTTGGGGGTAATTGCCCCTTTCATAAAAGATGCCATAAGGAAACTGAGGTGATAAATCAGATTAAACAATTGGTTAAGATTTAAAGGCATTAAAAATTACTATGGCAGACCCATAATACTATGTTGTTGTGTGAGTGAAACAAGGTAAACAATTTTTTATATTTTTTTACAGTTAACTTGTATAATTAGCCAAATCGCAATTGCTTGACATAAATTCAGTATGTTTGTTTTAGATCGCCATGTTGGTAGCCGCCCTGCTGGTAATCGCCCAATTGTAAGTACCCAGGTGGTAATCGTCCACTTGGTAACCGTCCAGTTGGTATTCGCACAGTTTAAAATCGCAAAGATGTTATCGCCCCGCTGGTAACGCTCAGTTTGTAATCGCCCATTTGGTAATCGCCCTGCTGGTAATCGTCCATTTCGTAATCGCCCTCCAGGTAATCGCCCTGCTGGTAACTGCCCAGTTTGTAATCGCCCTGCTGATAATCGTCCATTTGGTAATCGCCCTCCAGGTAATCGCCCTGCTGGTAACTGCCCAGTTTGAAATCGCCCATTTGGTAATCGCCCTGCTGGTAATCGTCCATTTGGGAATCGCCCTCCAGGTAATCGCCCTGCTGGTAACTGCCCAGTTTGTAATCGCAGAGTCAGCCTCGGCGAGATTGTTGTCGTCAACATAAATATCGCCAGGTGGTCGCTTTATAATAATTTTATGCAAGCCTTACTTATTGTGATTGGTCAATTCCGATCAGCTGCTACGCTAATAATCCAAGCGGTCATTGAATTGGTTTGTTTTATAGATTACTCTGTACTTTTGCTGGCTGTAAATATGAAGTTATAGCTGAATTAATCAAGCACAGGTTTGTATATGACGCTGCTGAGAGTATAATGAACCCATTTACCTTTATATAAAAGCAACGTAGAGACCGACCAAAACATACAAGTCTATTTCTAAAATATCGGCATCCACAGGATCATTAGGAGTTTATTTTTTTTAGTCCAGCAGAGATACAAATCAATCATCCCTTAAGTCCTCTTGTCTGGAAGGGGCTAGTCGATGGAAAAGTCTAGTCACTAGAAAGGGCTAGTCATTAGAAAGAGTCAGTAGGAAGGACTCCTCGCTGAAAAGGGCTACATAAAGGACAAAACTAATCTCTGGAAAGGGCTACACAGTAGAAAGTTTTACTGAAAAGGTATTGCAGCTGGAAAGGGCTAGTAAGTAGAAAGGACGACCGAAACACACATTGCAATCAATTCTCCGCGAGACCGAGCCAGCCCAGTAAAACGAGCGTACCCAGCCATGTTTTCTGCAATTCTATTGACGTCACTGGCAATGTTTGCCCCAGCCCACGCTACACCTAAAGGTAATTCACATTCTAAAGGTAAATCCTTTGTTCCTAAAGGTAATTCAAATGTTTCTAAAGGTAAGTCATCTCTGTCTAAAGGTAATTCATATTTCTATAGATAAATCCTGTGTCTAAAGGTAATTCACATGGTTCTAAAGGTAAATCATATGTTTTAAAAGGCGAATGTTTTAGTTGTCAAGATAAGTTATATGTATGTAAAGATAATTCGTGTCGGCTTACATAAATAAAACCAAGTCTTAGCGTAACCACGTGTGACTCATGAGAATTCATATGTACAAATGTAAATCATATTTGAAAAGTAAGTTATATGTTTCTGTACAACATTATCCATATAGTGAATAATTTACTTAGCTGTAACTTATATTTGTAATGGATAAACAATTACATAAAAAACAAACCAAATATGTATACGCATGCTAAGGGACATCAACTAAACGATGTATTAATCGTGTACTCATCAGCCTTGACCTTTGCATCGATGTTGAGTGGGCGGTTTAGTGACATTGACCTCTCACCCCTGGAGAACTATGAAGTGGAGCAGTACCAACAAGGTTTCATGATCATGCTCCAACCTGTCTTGGTACCCAACCTACAACCGGTAGGTTTCAAGTAGTAGTTTAGGTTCAGTTAATCATCAGCTACCACAACTCTTTTGGATCAGTTTCAAACTCAAAGTAACTCAAGGGTTTTGATAAATTAAGCAAGTCCCGCAACTTAGTAATGGTAGAAACTTTAACATTTTAATTATAATAAAAATAATGCAATCACACCAGGTAAAAGTAACCTAACATTCATCATCAAGACACATTGGTCAGATAAGGTAGAGTTCAGGGACCTCGGCATATGAAAGGATAGTGTGGCCAACACAATGCCCAGCCGCATTTGTTTTCCCTAACGTGAGTTAGCTACCCATAATAGCTGGGTGAACTCAGGGACGGTCTTTTAACGAACCCAGATTCGAACTCGAGACTTTCGGGTTAGCAGTCTAGCTCTCTACCGCTAGATCATTCCGTCAACACAACCTATCATTAAAACCACCCTACCATCCCCACCCCCAAACTCCTTCCAGCTGATGACCTTCTATGGCAGGGAGTGGGTGAACGGCTCCCTGATGCGTCATTACCTGACCACCGTAAAGGAGGGAGGGGACGGCCTCATCCACATGGACGTCTACGATTTCCCTGGACGTCACACAATCAGGTGAGTGGTTCACAGGGACGTCAGAGTATCAGGTGAGTGGTTCACAGGGGCGTCAAAATATCAGGGGAGTGGTTCACAGGGACGTCAGAGTATCAGGTGGGTGGTTCACAGGGACATCAGTAATTCAGGTGAGTGGTTCACGGGGACGTCAGAGTATCAGGTGAGTGGTTCACAGGGACGTCAAAATATCAGGGGAGTGGTTCACAGGGACGTCAGAGTATCAGGTGGGTGGTTCACAGGGACATCAGTAATTCAGGTGAGTGGTTCACAGGGACGTCAGAGTATCAGGTGAGTGGTTCACAGGGACGTCAGTGTTTCAGGTGAGTGGTTCACAAGGGCGTCAAAATATCAGGGGAGTGGTTCACAGGGACGTCAAAATATCAGGGAAGTGGTTCACAGGGACGTCAGTGTTTCAGGTGAGTGGTTCACAGGGACGTCAGTGTTTCAGGTGAGTGGTTCACAGGGGCGTCAAAATATCAGGGGAGTGGTTCACAGGGACGTCAGTGTTTCAGGTGAGTGGTTCACAGGGACGTCAGAGTATCAGGTGAGTGGTTCACAGGGACGTCAGAGTATCAGGTGGGTGGTTCACAGGGACGTCAGAGTATCAGGTGAGTGGTTCACAGGGACGTCAGTGTTTCAGGTGAGTGGTTCACAGGGACATCAGAGTATCAGGTGAGTGGTTCACATGGACGTCAGAGTATCAGGTGAGTGGTTCACAGGGACGTCAGTGTTTCAGGTGAGTGGTTCACAGGGACGTCAGAGTATCAGGTGAGTGGTTCACAGGGACGTCAGTGTTTTAGGTGAGTGGTCCACAGGGACATCAGAGTATTAGGTGAGTGGTTCACAGGGACATCAGTAATTCAGGTGAGTGGTTCACAGGGACGTCAGAGTATCAGGTGAGTGGTTCACAGGGGCGTCAAAATATCAGGGGAGTGGTTCACAGGGACGTCAGAGTATCAGGTGGGTGGTTCACAGGGACATCAGTAATTCAGGTGAGTGGTTCACAGGGACGTCAGAGTATCAGGTGGGTGGTTCACAGGGACATCAGTAATTCAGGTGAGTGGTTCACAGGGACGTCAGAGTATCAGGTGGGTGGTTCACAGGGACATCAGTAATTCAGGTGAGTGGTTCACAGGGACGTCAGAGTATCAGGTGAGTGGTTCACAGGGACGTCAAAATATCAGGGGAGTGGTTCACAGGGACGTCAGAGTATCAGGTGGGTGGTTCACAGGGACATCAGTAATTCAGGTGAGTGGTTCACAGGGACGTCAGAGTATCAGGTGAGTGGTTCACAGGGACGTCAAAATATCAGGGGAGTGGTTCACAGGGACGTCAGAGTATCAGGTGAGTGGTTCACAGGGACGTCAAAATATCAGGGAAGTGGTTCACAGGGACGTCAGAGTATCAGGTGAGTGGTTCACAGGGACGTCAGAGTATCAGGTGAGTGGTTCACAGGGACGTCAAAGTATCAGGTGAGTGGTTCACATGGACGTCAGAATATCAGGTGAGTGGTTCACAGTGACGTCAGAGTATCCGGTGAGTGGTTCACAGGGACGTCAGTGTTTCAGGTGAGTGGTTCACAGGGACATCAGAGTATCAGGTGAGTGGTTCACATGGGCGTCAGAGTATCAGGTGAGTGGTTCACAGGGACGTCAGTGTTTCAAGTGAGTGGTTCACAGGGACGTCAGAGTATCAGGTGAGTGGTTCACAGGGACGTCAGTGTTTCAGGTGAGTGGTCCACAGGGACATCAGAGTATTAGGTGAGTGGTTCACAGGGACATCAGTAATTCAGGTGAGTGGTTCACAGGGACGTCAGAGTATCAGGTGAGTGGTTCACAGGGACATCAGTGTTTCAGGTGAGTGGTTCACAGGGACGTCAAATTAACAGGTGACTGGTTCACATGGACGTCAAATTATCAATTGAGTGGTTCACATGGGACGTCAGACCATCAGGAGAGTGGTTTGACGTCCCGCCAGCCGATGAGTGGTTTGACGTCCGGGGACGTCAGACTATCAGGGGGGGGGGGGGGGGGGTGGTGGTCCACAAGACAACCCCGTGGGGTGTGGGATGGGCAGAAGTAACTTGCAGTAGTTGTGTTAGATTAGAAGTGATAAATCGATATTTGGTATTGTACTCCATTCCCAAACACACCGGTCTTACATAAGAACATATATAATAAATAAATAAATAAATATATATATATATATATATATATATATATATATATATATATATATATATATATATATATATACATATATATGTATATATATAATATATGTGTGTATGTGTTTGTGTGCGTGCGTGTGTGTGTGTTTGTGCGTGTGTGTGTGTTTGTGTGTGTGTTTGAGTATGTGTATGAGTGAGTGTGTGTGTGTGTGCATACTTTTGGTATTCATATGATTTATCTACAGGAATTTCACTGAAGATCTAGTTCAAAACTTAACGGCACCAAGACAATGCCACACAATTTTTCAACAAGTAGAAGAGACTGTGTTTGTGGGGATCTGGCCTTTCTGTACAGGCGTATCAGGAGAGGTAAAGTTGTATTGAAGTGTTTAGGGGAGACAATTAGGAATATATGCACGTTTTCTCTTACTTTGTACAGAAAGATTACATATTCTACGGTTGTGGTTACGTACTTCTATAAAAATTATTTTAATACGTCTTGAAAAGAACTTAACAATAGATAGTATTCCTTATCGCTAATTCTAATTTATAATTAGAGTATATTCTAAATAAATCACCTTCGCGAATTAATTTATGTATAGCTTATATCTAGGTAACGATAATATAACTTGTGATATATTTTGCACCGTAAAGGTTTCAAATAATTCTTCTTCTTCCCTTTCCAATAAATTAAATACTTTTGTGTCCCAGGTTCCCGAACAGTTCATCATCATACTAACGTGTAACTCCTTCATTGCTTGTCCCCCAAACTCTGGAATGTTACATGTAAACAAACTGATAGAAAGGTAAGGAGCTGTATGAGTCTCAAGTGAATATCACGTGCAAGACAACCTGGAACTCTCGTGATCAGTTCGTGAGTTCGAGTTTGTACCATGTTGATAGGTTTAAAGTCAGATCTGACAGGCAATTATTATCAGGGAAAGGTTAAGGCGAGTGGGCTTAGAACTAACTACTCTCTTTCTTCATGTATACCTAGATCACACAAAGATTGACTCTAATTGATTAGCACCATAAACCGTTTACACATTACATATTTTCAATGACTAATCCAGTTTTAAATTTTTTTTCCTCTCATCTCGTCATAGAAAAGTTATGATTTAGTTTCAAGTTCGCAAGAGGGTATTTTCTTCCCTTTCGTATAGGCCTACATGGTTTAAAAGTGCAGCCTCCTCTGAAAATACCAAAAACAAATACTTTTCCCCTAGATTGCTTAATCTTTTTGTTCCTTGGTTGGACACAGGCTATGGAAGCAAATCCAGAACTAAAAGCAGGCTGATATAGGAGTCAACGATATAAATGAACATAACGAGTCCACCGTAATACATCATTTTTAAAGGAAATCCCTCTAACATTAAAATTAAGAAGAAGAAAAAGAAAATTGACCGTCTGTCCTGTCTGGTTTCACTAGTGGGAAATAAAAATAAAAAGTTCAAAAGAAACACTTTAGTTGTCATGCCAAGGGCCCATAATCTGACAAGGGCCATAATCTGATATGTTTTTGTGTGTTAGTTTGATGATTACTTTAAGACGCGTATCAAATAAACGCCAGTTTAAACTTTTACAGGATAAACCTCCTCCCCTACATGACCAGCGGAGTAGATGGAAACTCCACTCAACCGTGTCGGGCATAGACAACACAAACTTGATCGCTGGACAGAACCTACGTCATCGTTAGACATCAATTACCTGAGTAATGATCAGAACTCACCTCTTAGAATACAAAACCTACCAAATCCTACCAAAACCTACCAAAACCTACCAAAACCTACCAAAACCTACCAAAACCTACCAAAACCTACCAAATCCTACCAAAACCTACCTCATGTCTCGATTAAACCTGCTGCATCATTTGGCAGAATTATCTGATAGAATCTACCTCACATTCTGATAAAACCTTCCTACATTTCTTACATTATTCTACTCGGTGTTTTATATAAATAAAAATTGGAATGTTATTTTCATCAAGTTTTTAAATCTGAACTAATTTGTTTTTTTTTTGCTCATAAGAATCGAATCTAAGATTATTTGCTTGAATATAATTGTGGCCATATTTAGTAGCATAATATTCGAGACATGCGATTAAATCAACCATTTTTATTTAATTTGAACATAATTTCTCTGAAGGTATATTTTTTTTTAATTAATAAAAAGGAAACGTTCCAATAACCAGCTTTTATGTAATAATGCACTAAAGAGAAGAAAATAAATGATGTTCTTTGAAATTATAACAATGCACTATTGTAAAATAACTTTAAGGAAAACCGGCATGTTAATAATTTGTTATGTTTTTAATTTGGCATCGTTGATGGTTGTTAGTAAATGTTCGTTTGTTACTGATTTGACTTACTGTTACTAATTTGTGTGTTTTGGGTCATCCGTAGAGGAATGGGAGGTTCGGACATTTTTGACGATGTGAGATAGAGGAGGGAAACATACTCTGACGTCACCGTATTACTTTTAAAAAAATATTTTTTACGCTAATTCAAGCAGTTTCAATTTTATTTATTCGCAAATTATTATAAAAATTGATAAATAAATCTAACACCAATCACAATTTTCTAAAATTTTGTGTAAAAAAATAGAAAGAAAAAAAAAGTTTTTATATGCAAAGAGAGGCTACTCAATTAATATTTTTGCAAAAACATTATCCGCGGTTATATCCCCTTACTAAACTGAAAGTTGGTGTGTTGTTGGCTAGTGTGATATCTAATTAGGGGGTTCTTACCTCCTGTGATGACGAGTGGCGATGAGGGTAGGGTTTGGGTGAAAGGGGTAGGAAATTGATTTTATAAGCTTGACTTTGTTTACGGACGACAAGAGCTATAGCTTCTTATATTAACAACCAACAATAGACATTTCATAAAAAATACTTGTGTTTATTGTATTTGAATCAATATCTGGAAGTTAATTAATTATTATAGTTAACTATTTACCATATACATCGATGATATATAAATTTAGATCAAAGTTCATCCTCCATTACTCATTTGTTGTCGGCCTACAAAAAAAAAATAAAAAAATAAATAAATAAATAAATAAATAAATAAATAACGGATAACGTTAATCAATCTTTGATAAGATAGATGTGTAGAAGAATATTTGGTGACGTGCTATTGACGTCTGTGATGTGCTTGATCCTTTTACATATGGCTGTTAGTCGAGTCGAGAACATTCTCCTCATTGTACTGTGCCATACCCCGTCAGGTTGATGGTAGTCCCGTTAATACCCACAGCGTCAGAATGACCAATCTCCACATTCTCTGTCTTTATGTTTTGTACTTTGACGAAATTGATGGATACAAAGCTGAAAAGAGAATTATTTATTAATAAATAATACAAATATGTATCGATTAGTTTTAAGGTTACTGCAATATTTTCAACATAAAATTTCTATAAATTTAATATTTTAACGATTAATTTTAAAGTTAATTTATTTTTTCAAATATTTATTAAAGTACTTATCGATTAATTTAAAAAAAAATCTATTTATTAAGTAGGTATTAATTAAATTTAAAGTTACTTAAATACTTTTTAAATATATTCATAAATGTATGTAGCGATTAAGTTTAAAGTTACAAAATTATTTTCAATAATCATTAAATATATTCATGCATGTCTGATAGAGTTTTTGGACAAGTCAAAAGCAGTAAGGTTTAAAACGGCTAAATCTGTCAAAATATCGGTAAATATATGTTAATTATTCTTCACGATCATAATATTAACCCTATACATGAAAAAAAAATGAGAAAAATAATGCACTTTTGATTATTTAAATGCAATATATTTCGCTATAAAGTTGGATACACCTGTTTCTAGTTAAATATTGTCTATATTTTAAAATAATCTTACAAATTCAGTTTCCCGTCTTGACTAATTCGGCCGTTAATTTTGCAGAATTCTTCACCACTATCCTGGCCAGAAGTTTGTAGCTTTTCCAGCGCCCTCTCCACGTCTGCTTTAGAAAACCTTTTGTCTAGCCCCGCCTTTTTGAACTCTTCCTCAATTTTAGGTAGCGAGGATAGAATAGAATTTCTGATCTCGGTTATAACAGTTGGAGGTAGGCTCTGAGAGCCAGGGTCCTCTGTAGAGCCGTTGGCTCCATCTACTTGCTTTGGGGTAGAATCTCTTGCATGGGCTCCGGCTAAAGACGTGGCCAGACTATTCGTCTTAGAAATCAGCTCTGAAAGCCCGGAAACTTGACTTGCTTTTTTGGAAGAAGTTTTTTTAATTTCCGATTTCTTCGCCTCACATGATTTAGTTCCAGTTTTCTGATTATCGTCTGGAACTTGAGTGCTGGTGACGTGTATACTTTTGATAAGGCAATTGATTATACCAGTAGTGGAGATTGGCATTTCTGTAGTCGATTATTTCAACAATGGATAGATACAACTTTAAAAATAACAATCTGTTTTATTCTCTTATTAAAGTAGCTGTGTCTTTAGCGTTCAATGCACCTAAAGGATATAAAATGCTAAAAAAATAATATTTTGTCAATTTTGACATCGTGAATAATAAAAAGTGTAATTAAAAAAGGACCTTTGGGGGTCGTCCATAAATGACGTCACACTCGTAGGGGAAGGGGGTTCCGTTATTTTGTGACTGTGTGTGATGAGGGGGTGGGGTGGGGGGGGTTCAGATGGTGCGACGTCAAACTTTTGCATTATAAAAAGGCAATGTTAGAAAACGAATTTTAGCCGTTATTTTGCGTTTTAGAAAACTGTTTTAATAAATTGTAATAGGAATTGATTAAAATACTCTATGTTGACAGAGTTCAGACAAGATTTTAGAAAAATATCGATGTTTAAAAAAAAAATTCAACTGCAATTTTTTTTTTGGGGGGGGGGGGGGGGGTTGTAGGCTGAGGTGTGACGTCATTTTAGGGGGGGGGGGGTCTGGCTTTTTGTGACGACGTTTGACGGAGGGGAGGGGGAGGTGAAAATCGTCAAAAAAAAGCGTGACGTCATTTATGGATGACCCTTAAGATACAATTATGTCGTATCCTTCTATGCAAAATTTGTTCTAGAAAAAAAAATGATTAAAAAATAACATTATGTCAATTTTGACGTGGTGAATAATTAAAAGATAAAAATGTATTATTTTCGAATGCAATGCGTCACACAGCAGGCAAACGTGATTGACGTAAATGTTACCTTTGGTAAAAAATTAAATGTTAAGGTCATTGCATATTGAGTCCTGTGACACCATTACGTATGTTTGCACAGTTACGTTATGGATCTATTCCACAGTTCATTCCACATTCTGCTGGATATTGATTTAAGTATGTTAAAAGCTTAAAATAGCAATTCAAACAGAAAATGATATTTTAATCATCGCGGCACCAAATCGCCCCGCCTTCCATGCATCAAATAAGATGTGTAAACACTTCAACCAATCAGCTCTACAAAAACAGAGCTTTTTTTATTACCGACCACTATCACAGCTTGTGCATAGATGACGCGGGTTGGCTTGAACTCTGACCCGAAGGATCTGATTGCTTGAATTGGTAGGTTCGAATCCCGTTGGATTAAAACTACTTTCTCTCTACTTGGATTATATTCTGTACCTTGTCTACCCTTGGTGTTGTAATATCCCTTTTTGTTTACATTGCTATTTCAGTAACAAAACGCCTTCTTCCACCCTCTCTACAAGTTTGAAACAAATCGGTTTAAGGTAAGTGGGTCAATTTTTTAACGCAGGGGTCAACATGTGACGTCAACAAGAAACACGAAGCAGCAACTTGGAGAAAACGGGTTAAATGAAATCTTGTAAGTATAGCTTAAGTGTGGATGTTTGAGGACAGATTCGCACGATCTGGTGTAATCTTGATGTAGACATTTGCTTAAAGCAAATAGAAGCTTTAAAATAGACGGCCTAACACAAATTTTGTTACATCCGGGTGGTTCTTATAGGTTTACTTATTACAAAATTTCTCTTACATTTCTCTTACATTTCTTGTACATTCGTACCCAAGACACATGAGGCAGATGAAGTAGAGTTCATCTGTTCCAAAGACCTTAGCATACAGAGGGATTAGTGTGGTCAACACTATGTTCAGCTGCCTTTATTTTTATTAGCGCGAGTCAGGTACCCATCGAGATCCGAACTCGAGACTTTCGTGTTAGCAGTTTAAATAATAGAAGACCCGATTCATTATTGGTCCATAAGGTATATTAATTATTGGTTATTGGTTATTTATAAGCTAAGATAAATAATAATGTCGACATAAGAGTATATTATTGTGAAATAGTGTACATTACCTCAAGATTTCAAGTGTTATCCAAATTACCATAACTTGACGAATGGTGTACCAAGGCGTAGGCGAGCATAATAAGAAGCCGTGTCGCTTAGACCTCGGTATGTTATATATAGCCTCGGGAAATACGATGCTATTCTTAGAAAGTTTAAAAGGACGTTTTTATTATGTACCTAAATACTTTTGAATACTTGGAAAAACGTTTTTAAAAACCTATGGAAGGTTTTTTTTCTTCAAATGTTATATATGAATGGAAATAGTGGTAAGTTATGCATCCTTACGTGAATTAGCCCCCCCCCCCACTTTCCGAAGAAAGTCTACGAAAGGAATTGATATAGAAAATATATACTTTCACCAGTGTCCGTCTCACCCCCTCCCCCGGAAAATTTAGTCCGCTCCCCAAAAATTAGTTTGCTCCCCGAAAAT